ATGGATGGATGGATGGATGGATGGATGGATGACATGCACCAACATACCTGCAACTACAGCATTGGTACTCATAGCCAGGCAAAGGATACTCAAAGCTAACCTGCCGAGCATCACTACTCTTTCAGGTATGGTGTCCTAGAAACCAATGTACTAGAAAGCTAAAAGTAGAAGGAAAATAATGATCAATTATCAAATTCGGTTTTCGCTTGATATAATAATAAATTATCAAGACCAAGGTTGTCTTTTTCTAGTGATCACAACAACCAACGGTAAGAGCGATCACTCGTTGACGTCAGCTTATTTGTCTGTCATTTTATTTGATCATAAAAATAGCCAATCAGTGCGCGTAAATTTTATAATTTGTATATGAAATCATATGGTTTTGAGTTGTTCAGAGTGTAATTTGGAATAAATTTGGGCAAGTGGATTTTCAAAGAGTTCAAAATTGCACGAGAGCAATGTGAGGTCTTTGTAAACTTACGAATTCAAATTTATTCTAATTTGCACGAGAAAACCATATGAGTTCCTTTTAATAAGATAAATGAAAAATTGAAAAGGAAAATAAAGTATTTTGCCGAAGAAAGAACAAAACTCTCAAGAAGTTTTTTCATTAACATTATTAGTAATAAAAAAATTGTAAAAAGATCGGAAGAAAAGTCAAGGAAAGAAAGATCTGTAGAATTATTAATAGTGAAAAAAAAAAAAGAGGAACAAAAAAATATATACAAAGAATATACTCAGTACGGTTAAAATTACAACATATATGTTACTAAACTTTCAAAGAAAATTGATTGTGTTACATGTCGATTAATATTCATTAAGATTACAGCTTATACATTTATTCATGGCTTAACTCAACACTCTAAATAGACCATGAATATAAAATAAACTAACTATGCTTTGAAAACATAACTCGTCTCGTTTTTTGTAAGCTGATAAGGCTTATTATTTCTTGGGGGAAACGATCATTAGTTGTTTTATACGGCGGACATCTTGAATTATGACATAATATATCCGGGATGTGGAGAATTAAGGCAAAGGTAGAACATTGATAATGTTATAAAGCATAGAGTTTCGGGGTTACGTTTTCAAATTGATGTCTTGGCGTTTTGCACATTGTTCCAACTATCACAAATTTCAATTTCTTTTTAGATGTGGTTCTCATTGAAAAGCGTTAAATTATTTAAAACGACACACTGACAGCTGTACAGTCTATATATTTTCCAATAGTTTCCCCCTCAGCATCCATAATGTCTTAATTAAAAAAAATAGAGTTGAAGATGGCTGCCGTGTGGACGAGCTTTGTCGGTGTATAAAGCATAAAATTATGAGAATGATTTAAGTAAAGTTGAAATCCATGTAGTGTAATGGTATCTTTCAATTCTAATAAAATTCGTACGCTAGTCCTTCGTC